CCTCAGACAGACTCCGCCAAAATGGAATAAGATGATTGTTGATGCAAATCTGCAGATGTTCTTATGTTGACGACCACATAAACAGCAAAGAAATACCAGATTTTATTGTGACGAAAATGTAGAAACTAGCTCTCTTAATATATTGTGTCTGTACGACACAGCTCCACCTCCTCCCATTGTGCAAAAATAAAGTTAAAAAACTCTGAACGGTGTGAATCCATCATCACAGCTGTCTGACGGGTTCCCTTGATCCTGGTACTTTTTCAAAATGTCTTGGTGGCTGCTCTGGAGGGAAACTTCCTGGCAAACGCTTAACGGGGCAACAACAAAAAAAACCTGCCAAAAAACACAAAGCTATTCTGAAGCGTTTGCCGTCGTCACCTCGTTGATGAAGCGTTTCTGTCCTGATGGAGGAGGTGACTTGTCTTGATGATTTTGTCTCTACAGGCTGGCCATTGAAAGAGTGCATGAAAATCAAAACAGTGTGACTCACTCTCTACGGCTGCTGGCGGTGTCACCGCTTCTCAGCTCATCTCGGTATCCTGGAGGGGCGATGGAAACAGATCCACAATTAAAAACAAAACTACCGAGAGGCAGGATTTTCTTTAGAGAGCTGGTATGAATGAGACTTGAAGAATCCACGCCAAGGCACGTTGACGAATCTCACAGCCTTCCAAACCCTGATTAAAAAAACTTAATGGCCTTTCCTCTTGGCAGTTACCTGCATGTACCTTTGTTCAAAACTGCGGTTGTCTCGTTCCTTAGACAGCCACAAAAATGAAAATGTCTGATTGCTTGTTCTGGTTATCGTGTCCAAGAATCTGCAGCTGCACACACCAACCCAAACATACCGAATCTCACAGTAACCAGTCAAAATAAACCCAGGAGAAATTCAAATCACGGTGGTGCAACATCCAAACAAAATGTTCCAGTCGTTCAGGGGAAGCATAATTCGATTTTGGTAAATATTTGATACATCGGTGGTAGCCTGAAGAATTTAAATCACATTGAAACCACCGTCAAATCAGTCAGAACCACACAGCTTTTACAGATAGAACATTCTGATGATGCACACGTGCATGAATCCAAAGTCTAATCTGTTTGAAAGGTGAAATACAGATTTAAATAAACTGACACCTTCAGTACTGTGACCTCTTTGTAGTGAGCTGTGTTGTGTGTTTCTTTATTGAACAGGACCAACACAGACAAACACGGACACACAAAGAAAAAGGGACAAGGACAGATGTGACAGGGGTCGAGCTTTTAAATCAGGTTCCAATATTAAAAGAAGACACTGGATAATAAACAACAGATACAACAAACTGCATCAAAATGAGCATCACACAAACGAAATTAGTTTGTTCAAATGAACAAATTGACACAAGAAATAACTTTAATTTAAATAATTACACATATTTTGGTGAATTATGGAAACAAGATAGAGAACCCAACTCAAATTGAAGAAAAGTTTTGAAATGATATTCAGGTTGAGTCGTGTTCGGACACAAAAAACAGAAGTTTGTGTGACAGTATGTTTTTTCAAATTTGGATTTAACAATGAGAAACAGAATAAGAATTTTATAAATCTCTTCATCTGGTGTTCATGATGTTCCAGCCTCCCACCGTCTACTCCACACTGCTGCGCCTGTGACGTCAAGCAGCGGGGTCGTCCCTTCGTCACATGGTTACCATTGGAACCATGTGGGGGGGCCATTGTTGAGGCCATTGTTGAGGCCATTGTTTTGCTTTGAAAAACATTAGCATACAGATGTTTTAGGTCAAAACTGAGATTTAATTATCATAACCGAGTAATTTAATTCATGTTTAACCTTCAGTGAGTTCAGGGCATGTTTCAGAAAATAAAAATATGAATGTGCACAAACAATAAGGGTCTAAAATCTACAGCAAATTCTAATATGAACAATACAATTATCGTCCATTTGAAATTATTTATGCATCAATCCAGGTTGAAAAAAAACATGATTTGAACACGAAATACTGCAGCTACAGTTTAGATACACAGTTCTGCAGCATGCATGTGATTAAGTGAAGTGTTTCTTTGCTGATAACAACAGAATCTGTTTTTTTTACTGTGCTGTGTGTTCGATGAGTGAAAACTCAACGAGTTGGAGACAAACACCCGGCGCTAAATCTGGTTCTCTCAGACAAAAGCAGCCACCCACAAAGTCAGTAAGAGTATTATGAGATTTACATTATCAAGGAAGGATTTACATGAGATGATTTCCTCCAGATGAAAACACTGCCTGTTGGATTCTTTGGGTGTTACAAATATTAAGCTGCAAGAAAAAAAAATCCCTTCATGCTGAAACATGAAAGGCTAAGTCTCGGTTAGCAGGATGTGATTATTGCTAAGAAGCAGCAGAACTTGCAACCGCAGAAAAACTTGTTG